CAAAATAAGTGTATCGGTAAATTTATATTCAGAAAGAATAAACCAGTTTTATTAAGTAAGGACTTGTGTCGCTAAAGTTTCGTCCAAACGAAGTTACGGAAAGTTAATTAATAAACGGAGACGTAACAATATATATATTCAGAACAAGTTAACGTTATATCATGACACACATGAAATGAATTTGAGTATTTACTGAAGAAACAGCCTTGAAAATAGCTAAAAAGAAAGTTTAGATATAATTTTATAGATCTAGAATTAAATTGTCATGTCACAGAAAAATAAATATATAAGTTTTAGAATTTTGTTATATAGTTTGTGTGAACTATATAGTTGATTGTGAATTGTGAAAGTTTTATGATAAATTATATTTGATTGAAAGTTACAGAAATTTTCTTCATTGAACAGACAACAGTAACTTGAGATAAGTTAAACTTTTATATTTACAAACAAAACCTTTTCACAAGTTTAAATCATTAACAAAAATAGGGTAATTCAAAAATTACTTTAAAAAAGCCAACAGCAATGAAAAATTATGATTAATACCATGTTAGAATAAGTCAACCAGAAAGCCATGAAGGTAGTACACCCATTGGTTTTTCCAATTTTATTGTATTGAATAACATATATCATGTTGTTGGTAATGCTGTACTAATTTATTAATTATATGTAAGAGATTAATGAATTCATCCATTAATTGATTAATAAATATCACTAGTTGCCCAGCTCTGTCTGGTATTATGTTTTGAAGCATCTATTTGATTTGCTATCTAGTTCTTCCATAATTTTTAGTAAATATGAGAAAGAAAAAAGCATAATTTATATTTATTTCCTAATTTTTATGGTGGTTATGAGGTCGGTCAAATCGACCTAACCCGTACAGAGATACAGTAGTGAAAATAACATAAAATAGAAAGTTTTACTGAAAACAAACATTTGAAATGTATTTTGGAGGTTTTAGAGATTATACAAATGATATTTGAGATTTTTGGGATGAAGAATACTTTTTCAATCATAACATAGGAATAATTTAATTTGATACATCTTATATTGTTGTTAAAAAAAAGTTTCATAACACTTGCAAAAATCAGTGCACAAGATTTGACATACAATATTTATTCTAATTGAAAAATAAAATGAAAAATCAGAGCTTCCTACATGAAGTACTTATTTTAAACATTTTTCAAACTTAGATTTTTAATTAATATTATATTTTTAACAATTAGTATATATATATATATATATGCTTGCTTTCAAAAATAAAATAAAGTTGTTACTTATACAATCATACTATGTACATTTCTGCTTAACTTGGACGTCAACAATATGAAAAACTTCTTTCTCACTAGAATTCTAACTTCTAAGCAATGTAAAATCAATTTTACCACAAAAGCTGCAGGTGTCTTAAACAATACTAACTTTGATGAGACAAATATGTAAAGTCTAGACATATTGTTAGAGTGTCTGAGAAAAGTCAATGCCCAGATATTTACCATGACAATGTGTAATTGAAATTTGCACTGTTTTATTAATTAGGAATAACCATTTGTTGGTTGCGGCTCTAGTGAGGTTGTTGAAGAATCAAGGTGTGTTGATATCAAGAAATCTAAAAATACTTTTATGGTACTTAAAGACCAATTAAGTAAAAAACACTCACAGTTGATGTTTAATTTTTTTGATACTTTGTGTAGTGTAAAAACATCTGGCTTTTTTTTATTAATTTCTATTTATTTTATTATTCTATTTATTTATTTTATTTTATTTTTTTATTCATTTCCTTAGCTCCTGGACCCTTCCCGTAAATCTTCACTTACTTATTCAACATAGAATAGAGTTATGCATTTATAAGTCACAATCGATATAATTGTAATTTCTGTTACTAAACTGTTGCCGTAGTGAAAAACAGTAAAAGTCAGAAACACTAATTTCGATTAGTTGATTAAATTCTTGGCATTAGTTTATTTAATTCTAATTCCAGTTACTCGATTAGTTTAAGTAATACTAATTGATGGAAACACTGCTGATGGGTAATTTATTTCATTGTACAGCTCTAGTAGCAACAAGGACTATAATGACATGGTGAAGTTTCATAATTGTTTCAGTATAATGTACTCATCCTATATATTTTTATTTGTTTCAATAATGTAAACTTCTTAAATAAGTGGAAGGCTTGAAATATTAGTTGTTGGTATATGTTTTGAAAGCAAAGTAAGAGAACTTTTCTTTTATCTTGAAAAGTTGATTCAGATGAAAGAGACAGTTACGTGTTAAAGTTGTAAATGAAACTTAACTGATATTTCAAACAGATTAATTTTAGATATCTTTAAATGTATGCCATTTTGGAAATTGTGATTTTCATATTTGAAAAATGTTGAAATTAAAACTTATCCAAATGTTAATTAAACTAATTACACAGCTCAAATTTATTTGTGTGTACTGAACATTTCCTTGTTTTTTCTTGGAATCATTAGTTTTATGGAATATTAAGCCATGTAAAGAATAAAATCTTGGGATTTCAACTATCCAAATCACAGAGATTGAAGTTGATTTCTCAAAGAACCCAAAAAAATAATAATAAATAAACAAACCTAGGTGTATTTGTTTTCTGATTTTAGATTCCAAGGCAAACATTAACAAGCACGGTGAAAAGCAGTTAAGCATGATGCAAGACATAGAAGGTTCTGGAGCTATTTCAGGTCATGAACATGCCAATTATGGTAATTTACCTGAGAAATCTAGTTGCCTTGAAAGAGACCAATACAGAAGTGATGACTGTGATAAAGAATTTGAATATGATATAAATTTATGTTGTCAAAAGTTAATCTGTAGTGGAGTTTATCAGAATAGTTCTGTTACAGGTGATAAAAGTTTCTTGAAGAATCATCATAGTATCCACACTGAAGAGAAACTATACAGTTGTGGTATGTGTGATAAAAGATTTCATAGTAGAAATGATTTACGACAACATCAGATGGCACACAGTATAAATAAAAAGTACAGTTGTAATGTATGTGGCAAAGAATTCAAAACCAAGAGTAACTTTAAAATACATCAGAGGATCCACACTGGAGAGAAACCATACTCTTGTGATTGGTGTGGGAAACAGTTTTCAAGACAACATAACCTAAAAGAACATAAAAAACTCCACACAGGAGAAAAACCATATAATTGTGATATGTGTGGCAAAAAATACAGATTACTAGATAGCTTTATAAAACATAAGAGTACACACAATATAGGAAAACCATACAGCTGTGATGTATGTGACAAAAAATTTAAAACTAGAAATTATTTAAGGCAGCATCAGATGTCACACAATACAGAGGGAATGTACAACTGTAATGTGTGTGGTAAAAAACTCCAAACAATAGGTAGCCTACAATTACATCAGAGAATCCACACTGGAGAGAAACCATACACTTGTGATTGGTGTGGTGAACAGTTTTCAAGAAGAGATAGACTGTATGTACATGAAATTATTCATACAGGTGAAAAACAATACTGTTGTGATATTTGTGACAAAAAATATACAAAAATAAACAGTTTCAGAAAACATAAGTTGACACACAGTTTACAGGGAAAGTACAGTTGTGAAGAGTGTGGTGAAAAATTCAGAAAAAAAATTGATTTGAGAAACCATCATATTATTCACACTGGAGATGAACCATGTAGTTGTAATATCTATGATAAAAAATTTAAAAGCAGAAATGATTTAAGACAACAGAGTACACACAGTACAGAGGAACCATACGGTTGTGGTTGGTGTGGTGAAAAGTTTTCAAGACAAGATACCCTTAATGTACATGAAATGATCCACAAAGGAGAGAAACCTTACAAATGTGATGTTTGTGACAGAATATTCACAAGTGTAAATAACTTGAGAGAACATCAATATATACACATACAGGAAAAGTACAGTTGTGATGTGTGTGGCATAAAATACACATCAGTAGAGAATTTGAAAGAACATCAGAGTGCACATAATATAGAAGAAAAGTATAGCAGTGATGCATTTGATAAACAATTTCAAAATAACTATTATTTTACTGAACATCAGAGGTTGCATAATATGAAGGGACAGTACAGTTGTGATGTGTGTGACAAAAAACTCAAAACAATATATAACCTTAAATTACATCAGAAGATCCACACTGGAGAGAAACCATACACTTGTCATTGGTGTGGAAGAAAATATGCTTTGGTAGATAGTTTTAGAAAACATCAGAGTACACACAATATAGACGGAACATACAGTTGTGATGTGTGTGATAAAAAATTTAGAAGTATACATAATTTCAGGAAACATCATAGGAAACATAATGTAGAGGAAATGCATGTTTGTGAGGTTTGTGGCAAAATACTCCAAACAATAAGTAGCCTTAAATTACATCAGAGAATCCACACTGGAGAGAAACCATTCATTTGTGATCAGTGTGGCGAACAGTTTTCAAGAAAGGATGCCCTAAATGTACATTATAAAATGATCCACACAACAGAAAAACCATACAGTTGTGATGTTTGTGACAAAAAATTCAAAATATTATATAGCTTCAGAAAACACCAGTTAGCACACACTGTAGAGGGAAAATATAGTTGTGATGAGTGTGGTGATAAATTCAAACATAAAAGTGACTTGAGAAACCATTGTCGTACACATACTGGGGAGGAACCGTACAGTTGTATTCATTGTGGTGAAACGTTTTCAAGACAAGATACCCTAGATATACATGAAATGATCCACACAGGAGAAATACCTTACAAATGTGATGTTTGTGACAGAATATTCACGAGTGCAAATAACTTGAGAGAACATCAGTTGTCACACAATATAGGAGAAAAATACAGTTGTGATGTTTGTGACAAAAAATTCAAAATTATATATAGTTTGAGAAAACATCAGTTAACACACAGTATGGAAGGTAAGTGCAGTTGTAATGAATGTGGTGAAAAATTCACAAGTGAAAGTAGCTTGAGAAAACATCAGAGCCTTCACACTAGTAATGACTTGTACATTTGTGAAGTTTGTGGTAAAGTATGTTATTTTGAAAACATTTTAC